TGAAAAACAACGACATGATTTAACCCCACACAACGGAGGTATACGGTTATCGATATCGAAGAGAATAGAGTTTGATTCCACCCTATCGGGGGTTACGCCCGCTCTACCCCGTGGATGATATAACGCTATTGGCCGTGGCGGGCAAAATGACGACGTCAGCCGCCACAACTCACATCCCTCCCAGGTCCCTTTGAATCCTCCAACCCCTCTCAAAATTCTCCCTCCACTCGATCGAGAGAGACAGAGATAAAATAATGACGTTTGCAAACGCAACCGTGTCGCGTACATCTCGTGGAAAATCGTTGGACACGCATGGACAGCAATATAAAGGTGGGGATGGCAACTCGTTCTCGGGGAGAAAATAAAAAGCAAAAATAACGGGGTAAAATATTCACCGGTTGAATTCCACTGCAACACAATATGCGAAAATTCGGAATCGACACTTCCCAATTGCCCGTAAATCCCACAACTTTATAATTTTTTTTCTCCGTTAAAATCGGAGTATCAGCGATTGAAATTGATTTAAAATACTCGGCAATATCTTGGGGAGTCCATTTTATGATTTGTCATTTTAATTTGAAGTGATTTCGACGAATTTCTTGATTATAGAACGAAATTCCGTAGATGCCACAGGGTGAAAGTTGATCTGGCGGAAATAAAAATAGTATATTCTTCACCAAGGGTGGAAAGTCAGGTTTTCCGTTTGTCAACATGCCTGCAAAAGAAACTCGTGTTTTACCGTTTAAAAAACAGGAGAAAAGTGAATAGTTTCCGCCCTAGGATGGAAAGTCACTCCCAAGTGCGGAAAGTCTTGACTCAGACCATATACCCATTTACCCAAAATTTCGAGATATTTCGATTTTTCGATTTTCCACTGAAATTCTTGTCCCCTCACTGGCGATCGTAAATGTTGAGATAAGGACTGATATAGGCTCATTTTTCTAATAGGTTTTGACACGAAAAAAAAAATTTCAGAGTCTTCATGGAGCATTTGTTCATCCAAAATTGATAGAGGGGACATGAGAGTCTTGTCCTGGGGTGGCTTTTCACTGAAATACGATGAACTCTATAATGGCTCATAGATAGAGTCGTCGAGGGCCTTTTGGAGGATCCGACCGGGGGTCCCCACTTACACATTATTATAAATCGTGTGTTACATTGTGCTTAGGATTCCTCGTGACTTTTGACACCGGGACTTTGCATTGTTGGTGAACACCTTTTGTGTGACTTTGTGACACACGCACACATCAAACAAACAGGAGCTTCAAACACGCAGACGTTTAATAGTGTATGCGAATGAATTTCCAGAGGCCACGAGTTAATATAGTTGCAGGGATCAGCAGCTGTTTACAAACAATGGATTTTGCAGCGAGAGGGGAACCCCGGGAAACTTGATCTGTTTATTTATTAATAGTGTTATCCCTCGGCGAATGCACCGGTAACTTTCGACGGGGTACAGGCAGATCCTGAAAAAAAAATTTCTCATTCACCGGAATGATCTGTTAATTCCAGAACCTCTCCATCCGATTTTTTCTTGAGGGGGAATATTTTAGATTTCACTTGATTCACTCGGCGGATTTCGGGGGAGATGTGAATTACCGAATGGCCCTGATTATTTATTGATTTTACTACTTACTGAAAGCAGAAGAAAATTTTCCATTTTTTGTATTTTCGCGCTGATTAAAATTCGATTAAATTGTAGATTCTAAATAATGAAATTGGAAGAATAATTTTGGAGTACCTTCTGAAAGTAATTTTCATCTCCGTAAAATAAATGTTGATTTTCTGTCTGCGGAGAATTTTGACTGGTGAATTTAGCATAATCAAGTTAAAGGCAAAAGAGTAAATTCGTTGGGTGGTGGTATTGTTCTCCGTGTGCATTACGTCGAGAATTCTGGTTCAAAGAGGTGTGGTGGCATATCAGAGTACACCTTTTCCAGCTATTGTCCTTTAATCCAGGCGTCGGGCGGAGTACAATGGGTGAAAAGCCAGTGTCAGGCGTATTGTATCCTCTTGGTTCTGGCTCTTGAAATGGTAGATAGACCCGGAGACTAGCTATACCTTGGCCCAATCCTCTCAGACACGTTACGACCGCCAACTTACGCAACCATCTGTCCGTAGAACCGCTAAATTCACCCGAAACTCCAGAGATTTCCCATGTCCCCAGGCCACTAATTCCCCATAGCCTATTCCCCTTTCTACCCATTCTCGGATGCAAACATATTACCTTGACATTGTTCCATTATCATTGATTATTACCCAATCCTCCCTTTTTACTCCATTCAAAAATAATCCCCAAACCGTACATATTTTTATTTTAATTGGTGTAGCACCAATTAATACCGTTACGTGTCTCTATTACTGAGGAAAATAAAACAAATAATAATTTATTAATTAATTCATTTGCAAAATGTCGTTCACGGCAGAGATAATGTCTTTTATCAGGGGAATCAGGGAAATGCAACGGGCGACTTGAAAAGGGCCGCGGACTCATCAACTTTATTCCGATATGACAATGGTATTCATATCAGCTAGTGCATCAGAGAAATGAAACAAAAGTCAAGTAGAAAGGGAGTGTACACCAGCCAAAGCTCTGTTCTGGAACCACAAACTTTAATGTTAGCATTACTTTCATGCGCGACTTTATGCCAAGTATCCCATCAAATATATGACCCGGCGTTGCCGCTTCCCCAGGAACCTTCCGCTCCCCTCGTCCTCACCGCTTCAACTAAATTATTGCGAATAAAACTTTATACTCAAATTACCTCTACGCTAACTTTATCGCATTTCATCCGAGCGCTCGTACGGGATACGCTCCTCAATTCATAGGTACGGTATGGATGCTACATCCGTAATATCAAAACGCAATCCGTCGTTGAGATATTTTTGCCTCTTAAATCCAGCCATTAATTCTTATTCAACTTCTTGACTCTTTTTGTTTCGACTGAGAATAAAATGAAAAAGGTCGCGATCCTTTAATCCAGTCAAATCTTTCTGGGGAATTCGCTGTTTCAAGATTTTTTGCTCTCAGATAGAGGAAAATTATTTTCATTTGAGGGGAGTGGTAACTCGGATTAACGAAAATATTACTGTTGGGAATAGTTAAAGATAGTTAAGGAGTTTAGTTCTCAAGGAGACGTTTGGGAGAAATCCGGAGGCGTCGGGGGACATATACTTTATTCCCCCTCCATAACTTTGTACCATACCTATGTACTCACCCATCAAATGTGAGTACCAAAAAAAAAATTGTCCTCTGTTGCTCCGATAAAAATAGCTAAAAAATATATTTTTATTTATTTTTCCAAGGAGCTATTTTACAGAATTTAATACTCAATATTGATGACTCATTTCATCTCTTAATGAGATTAATTTCGATTTTTATTGATATTGATATTGAGTACAAATAACTTTTAACAAAATAGTTTTGAGAATAAAATTTTTTTTTCAACAATCATCGTTTTATCATCGTCCATGAAAAATCCAGGAATGAAAATGAACTATCGCGCTTATATTTTCTTAACTCTCGATAGATTATCCACTGGCCATATGGCAATCTAATAAACCTGATTTGGCGTAAACGGCTTATATCACAGGTGCAACTGGCAACTCGTTATCTTCGTGGTATCTGATATAATTAAATCCAGAACTTCAAAACCGCGGACATGTCGATGGCCTTTTAAAATCCACAATAGCCCGAAGACCGTAACATATAATTATCGTTGATATTAAATTATTTAGAAAATTACTGTGCAATTTTCATGAGCTATTTGATTCCAAATTGACTGGAATTCCTAGCTTTCAGTTATTTATACAAATCCCGGGGTATTTTACACGAATAGCAATACAATTTCTCAAGTTTCCAATTCTGCAATATTTATTTAATCATATATTTTCTAAAATTCATGAAGTCTGGTTTAACGAAGGCAAAGAATAATCAAACTTCAATAAAAAAAAAAATCGAAAATCGAAATAAAAAATTGAAATAAATAAAACCAATAAATTGGCGAATAGAATTTTTTTCCCTCGTCTTACATTCTCCAGAGTAATACTCCGATTTATTTCGAGTTATGAATAATTTCTGGAAGATTTTGGATTTTTCCATGCGATATATTGGCAATAAGTGGAGCTTGAAATTTGATAGTCCTAATGACTGGTAGATTTTCCCTTCCCCCTGCGGAGGCATGCCACGATAAGGATAGTGGCTAATTGCTGCGAATTGGCGAAGGTGGTGAATGAGAGGGCGCAGAGCGATATACACTCACGAATGCGAGTCTGTGGCTTGTTCCAGAGGGCAACAGGTGTCATCTGATTGATCGCCGACGCTCGCGGAGCCCCCGCGATTACCTAACCCGCAAACACATCGCCACGGGAATCGTCTAAATGTCGAGACATTACCACCGACCCATAATATGCGGTATCCAGTGGCTATCGGATTCTTTACCCCGTCGGTGTGACAATTTGTGACTGACAGTGAGGGATAAAAAAAATAGATAAATCGAAGAATCAGCGCGTGGAACCGCGTACCAATACATCAGGGATAATAAGCAGTTACACGCGAGAATAAACTCGGTTGGTTAGTCTCTCGAGTTAAACTGTGATTATGATAACTTTGCGCCGCGTCATCGACGTCCTGTGTACAATATATATTGGCTGACGCGCGAAGTGACCCGCGTAATCTTAATTAATGATCGTGCCAACCCTCCCATCCGCAAACCCGCGGCGAATCGAGCGCGGACGTGCCATTTATCATCGCAATCTATGAGCATATGAAATGTTTAAATACAGTGGTTGGTTTTTCCATGATTGACCCCACAGTCAATTGTAACGTGGGGGTTTATTGTCAGGATTTTAATGAAGATATTCTATTCATTATGTTGATCAAACCTGAATTGGTTGTGGTAATTGTAGTGAAATCAGTTCAATTGATAATAATTACACGTTTTTGAGTGATTTTGATTAAAATGTGGCTAATGATTCGTGTTTTATTGGGATTGTTTCAGAATTGTGAGGAATAAGGCAGCAGAAAAAGCGAAGCATGCTCATCAGCAGCAACAGGCGCAGCAGCAGGGTCAACCGCAGGGTCAGCCAGGTTCAGGTGGTTCTGTATCAGTGATAGCGCATGCACCGGCAACGGCGGCTGGCATTCCAACCAATGCAACAGCACCAAATGCCTACAGCATCAGCGGTATCCTCGGCATCCCCGCACATCATCAAGATCCAAACGGCAATAGCATCAAACGAAAACGCACTGACGACGGTAAGCACAAGTCACTCATATCAATCGACCATCAAATGATTCATATTTAATTTACGGGATAAATAATATCACGAGTGGCAATTTATACCCACTGGGGCATCAGTCAAATGTCCGTAGGGCGCACGTGTTGCCATTAATTTTCCTGTCATTGCGTGAATACTGTGTGCGTCCAAAAATATTCATGGCACGTGGCACCTCGGTTCTCTCTTCTCCTTTTCATGAAAAAATTTACCCACATTATCAATTAATCTTTCTTCAAATTTTTATAATTTTCGCAATTAGTGTTCCTCGAATTCTTGAAATTTTATTTCATTTCAAATTTAACTGGGGGAGACATGACACAGTAGTCTCGTTTAAATAGACATTTCAACTCGAATGAAGCTGGTGAATTAACTTGAGTCGAGTTGAAGTCGAAATTCGGAGTCGAGTTGATTTTTTTGAGTCAAATGGTACCGTTGGTGTCCAAGGTACGCCAATTTCTTAATCTGACAGTCAACTGAGATATTCACACCGTCCCATCGAAAATTTGCAAAGTGTACACTCGTGACGTACATACGGGTAATTCGATATAATTCCATTATGAATGCTCTGTGATATGCGATTGAGGGAAGTGGCGGTGGCACGAGCGAATGCGGTGAAAGCACTCAATGCTCTCCCCTCAGGCAAAACACGGCGTCGGAGAGTGTGCGGTTCGAGGGTGTAGGCATGCATTAGATTATAAACTTCACAGACCACAGCCCCCTCGGGCGTACCATATAATATTTGCGACGCGCCCGCAACAACGCATTAGCTCGGCCTTTTCCGCCTAATACCACCGCACTTTCCTCCACAACTCCCACTCTAATTTCTCCATATTCCCACAATCGATTATTCCCTCAATATTCGTCTGTGCCCCTCATCACTATCTCATTCACAGTGAAAAATATGGTTGTAGGAAATTTTACGGAACTGTCACGCAATTTTTCTCCGGCGTACCATCATTTTTATCTGGATTATCTCTTTTAAAAATTATGATATCGTTCACTTCGATTTTTTGTATCGATTATCGAGCCGTAATCGGTAAGCGAACTGAAAGTTCCATCATTTTTATTAAATATTTCTCTTCGTGTTCGATTTTTCGATTTTATTTTGGCGCCTCTCGTTTTTCTTTTTCTGCGACATAATGTACAGTGGTAAATTTTAATCAATCTAATGATCAATTATCGCTGATATCAATTCTATGGAAAAATTTAGACGATTTCCAAACTAATTACACGCGACCGGGGCCCCAGTCACTCTCTGTTTTTTTTTTTTTTCTTTTACCGCAATCTCACCTCGGTAACAAACATTGATACGCTTTCTAATTCTTGAAAGTAAAAAATCCCTCGAGAAGAGGAACAAATGGCGAATAACAAAAAATTCAGTCGACGCGGAAAAAAGCTTGTTTCACTGATCATTTTGTGGCCAACTGTTTTGGTATTAATTTTCAGCTTGTCTGGGGTTATGGGGGATTTTATGGATTCGTTTAATTAAGTTTTTAGAGGATTTCGTTCATTTTTCGGATATTTATGGATCATTAATGAATGCTAAATCAATTAATAATAAATCCAATTAAACTCAATCGATATAAAATACACATTTTACCTGAATTATTCTCTGAAAATGCGTATAAATATTATAAAAAAATTGGCAGGACTAAAAAATCCAATGAAAAAATTTCAATCCCTTGAAAATCAGTGGAAATCAAGAAAATTTCCCAACCGCCGCGCGTATTTCCCCAATTTCCATGGAATAATTAATTTGAAATGAAAATCTCCCGCCAACTTCATCGGCTCGTGAAAAAATGTCGGAATAATGCAATTTGTAGTGACGAATTGACCCGAAAAAATAGCCAACCGTGTCGATTGATAGATGAATACTTGAGAAAACATCTCAAGAATAAATTCAGGGAAAAATGGAGTTCCAGTCTGTTGTCGCGTTACATCTGCGTTCTTATATGATTATATACCCTCCACACATCCCATTGCAGATCCCCAAAAATCTCCCTCGATCGGTCTGCTTTCAGTTTTTCCCCCTCACCAACACATAACTACACACTTTATACTGATGTACACTTGAGAGGTCCACCGTAAACCCAGGGGTCCAGATTCACCCCAGAGTCCATTATTACCCGTGTATTGTATTGCTCAACATTGACTCAATTGCTTTCGAATAATGTCAGAGTGAGTGAGATCGAGAGAATATAATATGAGGGAAAGCTACCCCATACGCTCTCCCTTTTTTCGGTGTATATCAATCGAATTACTCGATTTACTGCTCTTTTTGGCTATATTCTGTGACCTTGTATACCCGCCGCATCCATAACTCCTCCCGTCGGGCCAATCTTTTTTTTTCTCCTTCCACTGAGTGGTTTTCCGTTTTTTTAACATGCTTCCCCCTTTTTTCTCGTTTCCCCATTTTTTTTTTCAACATTTGTTTTTCAGAAATGAATTTTTGACATTTATCGAATTCGATTCGAATTCGAAATCCATTTTAGATATGCAAAATGGAGAATAAAATTGACAACTTGAAGAATAAAGTGATAAATAACATCAGGAATAAAAAATTTCGGAAGTTCTTCCTTTTATAAAAATGATATATAATTCCTTTTTCCACTGAATATTTTCAAAAATGTTAAAACTTCTCAGGAATTCTCCGAAAATTCCGTAAACTCCAAAAGAATTCAACTAGACATTCCCAAATCGCTCTGACATGCAACGAATTCCCCATTCCCCCCGAGAATTCCGCCTTCCCGATTTTTCTTCCCCCGATTGACTTTTAAATTCCGTTCTTTGTCTCCCGAGGTCTAAGTAAACTTCCACCAAACATTAATTCGATTGAAAGTGACCGTGAATCCGATTGAATCGCGAAATGGCAAACTAGAATGCCGGGGAAAAGGTGAATCCCTCGGAAAAGGAGAAGAGAAGGATCTGGATGGTGCGTAATGGGTCGACTTGAATATATGGAAAGTGGGCAGGGGATTTTATAGCCGACAGTGGTGCACACACTCGAATCAAAATGGCCCCTGGCTCCCGTCGCTCGGACAATCACAACTTGACAGGAAGGTTTAACGAGCCCTATGCTGCCACTCTCTCCCTTCCTCCAACCCTTTCCCTCATCCTCCCCATCCCTCAGATGGTCATTTAATTATTCAGAATACCTCGTACGCGAGTCACCTCGACATGTCCCATTCCCCTCTGTCACTCGTATTTCGGACCAATCCCTCCCCATTCCTCCCCATTCCTCCCCATTCCTCCTCATTCCTCTTCCACCCTCTTCTATCCTCTTCTACCCTCTTCTACCCTCTTCTACCCTCTTCAGCCCACCCCCATACCTTTGTTCTCCTCTGTGGTGGCACGATATCGCAACTCTCCCTTTCTCTGTACACCAAAACATACCACATGTCTGTTATTCTATATTAAACTACCCCGGATAGGCGCCAGATAATAAAGACGTACTACAGAATAGAATCGAAATTATTCCTGTATCTATTAATGCCGCGGTTTTTTGCAAAAAAATTAATTCCGTGAAGAATTATTAAATCTCTTACAAAAAATAATCAGATGTTACGAGGTGTCACTGACTTTTGAAAATCATTTTCTTTTTTCCTATAATTATAATGTATGAATACAATATTTTTTAAATTGGTGATTGAATTTTTTTTTACTTAGTGTAAATTTATTTTTTTTTTATTTGCATGATGCAGATGAAAATAGAGATCTGAGCGACCATGCGGAGGATGACCTGAAGAGACAACGGAATAACTATAATGGAGACCAGCTCTATCCTAACGCAAGCATAGTAAACAACGTAAGCATCAAATTATTTAAAAACCTGAAAGATAAATAAATATTAAATTATGGATTCTTAAAAAATCGAAAATTCAATAAATAATTAACAGATTAAAGATATTTTGAGCTCATTCCTATTAAATGTAATCAACTACCTATATTCTGAAATAATAATTGATATAATTAATAATAATTGAACTGCAATAATTATCTACCTGTTTGATAACCACCCACCGCAATTCAAGACACGAAGAAATGAATAAAAAACAACTAAAGAAGTGGATTCCATTTTGAATGAGCCTTGCCAATCAAAATGGCCGTTACCTTGGAATATCGAATATTAATCATGAACAATTTTTATTGCAGTTATGGTCAAGTAAATGGAGTATCAAGGACGAGCATAACAAGCTGATGAGTGAGCTTGGTGGAGGTGGAGCTGGAAATAACAATTCACAAGGTGCCAACGGTGGCAGCGGAAATGCCGGGGGTTACTACGAACACAGTGGATTTCCCGGGAATACCATTGCTACTTCGGCTGAGCTGTATGACTCCCTGGGCACAATCAGCACAATGACGCAAGCGCCAACCTCCCACCTTTATTCCCCGCCCATAGGGGGCACCATAGGTCAGTTCAATCACCAAAACATTGGTAATCCTTATTTATTTCTGTGCATCCCCCTTCCAACTGATAATATTGGTAAAAGCCCGGAAAGACCTACTCAAAATTATTCATCCAATCCACGATGGAATTGTCGAATAATATGGACTCAGTCTTATTATTATTTATCAGGATTATTTATTTATTTATTTATAAACTAAAGGGTAACCCTCACTTCGATACCAGGAGTGAAATAATCGGTAATGATCTGTAACGTCAATTCGATTATCTGCGACTGAATGTTGATGAATTGTTTTGATTGTCAGGTTCATGATCAAATATTTCGCTGAGGGCGGAGAGAATTCTAGTAAAAATTACCAGAAAAATAACGTGGAAATTGTAATCAAATTGTAATCCGCGGGAGGAGTGAAGTTCAGTAAAAAGTGTGAGCTGGAAGAGAAATTGTACGAACCGTCACATGAATTCTACGATCTCCGTAAACATTATTCACTAGTCTGGTGACTCACCGCTGGATTAACAGCAAATCTTACTGTCATTTTTCCCCTGCAACTGACAAATTTCACGGAACAGAATGTAGAAACAACACATACATAAATACCCATGAATATTTCATTGTTTATTGAAACATAATAAGTGAATCGAATTTTCTGTGAAATTTTACTTGTTCAGATAAATTGACGCGTACGTAACACTTTCGTATTTTTTAATGAACATGATAAATTGAAGAACCTATCAGAATTATTGGACAGGTAATTCCTTTAAAAATTCCCGAAAACGATATCTTGTTTCAAATTACGTGAACGGTTCCATAATTTTGACTGGATATTTCTCTCCGCGTTTTTTTTGTTGTAAGTTTCTCTGTATATGGTTCAAGTGTTTTTGGGCAATGGGTGGTGAACCGTCGTCTTGTAACCATTGAATGAACACGCGAAAGAAGCCAGCCGTGTAAGTGGCAGAACATCTCATGAAATTCAAACTGCTCTGTCGTTGAGATCTTCCGAAGAATCCGCCCTACTTCGCCCAATTGTTCTTCTCGCTCCTCCTTTACATCCCTCTACTTATAGACCAGATTAGTTCACCAGAACAAATGGATACGGTTTAAATTCCCCTCATTTTTTCCTCTGGTAAAAATAACCAAAAAGAAATTCCCGAAACAATCTCCCCTTGCGATTGCAATTACACAAACGCACATTACGAACATCAGTAATTTTTTTTCCAATCCAAAAACTCATAATTTTTATCCAAATGAATTTTTCACTCGTTCAAATAATAATGCACTCCATCCAAATAACTCCAGATTGATTTCAACTTAATTTTTATATCTGGTAATGGTAATTAATTAAATTGATTATACCACAGGTGGAACGCTGACGCCACTCGCTCCTTTGTCGATGCAAGAACTGAAACTCAGCCAAACTCTGGACGGGGCTAATATGTCTCCTTATCACACAAGCGGTGAGTTAATTTCATCAGTATCAAAATCCTTGTTTGCTAAATCCAATATGATGTTATAAAATGCTTGTTGTACGTGTCGTGTGCCTTGTTTCGCAACCTCTGCATATACCGAGATACATATCACTTTCGAATTGCATATCTACCATATCGAGTGGCTTTATCTTGCAACATATTTCATGTGCTATATCCTCGTACATTATGAACTTGGAAGTAACACTTTCTTTGTCAATAAACGCGATGCCCCGGGCTAGATCGAGAATTATCATTTTTTTTTCTGGAGTTCTTGAAAGTTGTTTGAGCACTTCAGATCGTTTCGAAGATTAAAATCTATAATAAATTCACAAATCGAAGGCGATATCTGTAGAAATGAGATAGGATCTTCCAAAAAATCAATGGACTGATTTATTGGATTTTTCTGTTCCAGCAATGGTAGAATTTTATTATTTTTTGATTTTTTTTATCTGTTTTTCTTTTGGAAATTCAATTCACGGAGACGATGAGATTTTTACCTTAACGCCATATTAGATATATTTTTTATATATTTGCCATACCAATTATTCCAACTGCATTTTGAATACCACAATTCTTCACATTTTTAACAATTAATTCAAAATTTTAATTTTGCGTAAAAATCCATTGAAAACCAAAATTCTACAATGTCAAGAAATAAATCGAAATTTCGAGTAAAAAAATTTCCAGCAATGCCAGAATGACAAATTCGGTGTCACTTTTTAATTGAAATTGATTTGAAACCCAGATGATTGAAGCTTTAGATGATTTTGTACCTGAAATTTCAATAAATTTCAACCAGTGGTGCACGTATAAATAGTGTGCTTTGATAAGCTAGCTAGTGGCTCAATATACGAATGTTGCATTGTGTTTTGTGCATGAAAATACCAGAAGCCAGTACCGTCGCAGTGTCGTATGTTGGTGTGGGAGGGGGTGGGGGCGAGCAGAGTCCTCCAGTATCGCTGCACAATGAGGGTAATGCCACCCCCGCATCAGGGAATGCACCAGGAGGTGATCAGGGTTTAACTGTCCTTCAATCACCAGTATCGCAGTCCCAGGTCGCCTCAACGATACCACCGTATTCAACCATGTTGCCGAGCTTTGGACACTACGGCACAGGTCAGTACTTGTTTATGAGTTTTTATGAGTTTTTATGAGTTTATATCGAGTGAGTTTCGAGTTCCGAAACCAAGAAGATCGCAGGTAAGACGAATCACGAGGATTGACCTGTTGTGCCTGATGATGCCTGATTAATCGGATCCGATGAGTTCACTGACTCGCGGGCTGTCTTATTATTTTCTTATCTGGCTTTTTTTTTAATTAATTTTCCATTTTATCTGTGTGTTCAGGGAGTGGAGATTATGCCTACAGTGCAGCGTACTCTCAATACTCGAGTGCACCATACAGTGGGTACGGCTATGGAACAGCGACAAGCGGGTTGCTCAGTAAGTAAACAGTGAGTATGATAATCGATTAGGAAGGGGTCGATGGACAATGAGGCGTACGAGGGGAATATTTCAGTCGGGGATCTATTTTCGTTTTGTGGATCATATAATTATCATGTAATGGAAGATCATAATATATGGTCGCAACCCCTAAAATCAGTCTCTGAATTATTTCTTTCAGACTCTACGTACTACTATTGCAACGGGGATACGCTGGCGTCTTCCCATAATAATTCACAACAGGGTGGATGTAACAACGGTGGACCGGAGAGTAGTGCGGACGTGGCGAGTCGTTCACCATTGGCTGCTACCAGAGCAAGTAGTGGTGCTAGTGCTGCATCGCCAACCGGAAGTGCCTGCACAAAGCCGGATCACACAAACACCCCCACAGACCTGTACCTGGCTTAATTCGCAAGGCGACGCGAATTGTTCGTTCGAGTGATTATGAAATACCGCATTCAGAGAAGAAATATTACTTTTGAGAAAAAAAAAATATTCACTTGACACAAGAAAATATTTTCTTGTCAATTTGAGGAATTGCAACATCTCCTGGGGAATCATTTATTTATCACATCGTTGTAAGATAAAAAGGAGAAAGAAAATCGATCTCGAAATATCTCGAAATATCTCGAATGACCGTAAGACGAAACCGACCCGCCACCACGACGTCGTGGCTAAATCTCAAACATTTAGGGGACTATCTCGTTCGGGAAAAATTTTTTTTTCTGTCAATATGAGAAAAACAAATATTCAGCAATTGACGGAAAATTTTCTTGTATAAAGTAATTTTTCTTTGTTGAAAGAAACTTTTTCTCTTGGTTTACGATCTTAGCGACGGGAGTCATGAGAGAACGAACGCCATATCACAAGATTAAAAAAAAAAACCAATTGAAATTAAGTACTGATCTCTAGGAAGGACTCGAGGTGATCGAGCACCTTCTGTTACATACATTTCAGTCCTCGATGTCCTGTCAATACGAATACTATCATTATGATTATTAGTACTATTACCATTAATCCATTTTTTATTTCTCGTATTTTCTTTTAGTTGCGACAAGTTCACGTCGTTATGCGCAATCACAAAGTTCTAGCACCCAACCTGTTGGTAGTTTAATTTATCATTCTCAATTAGCATAATTTTCTGGGCGAGTGTATCGCAATCGAGGACTTGACTCTCGATGTTAGGCCTGTGCTGCACGAGTCGCAATAATGAAACAACGAGGACAAATTAAAACGATTGTCTTCAATTGTCTATAACTCGACAACCGTAGAGTAGAATATGCCAATTTTCTTTTACCTCGAAGGACATGTCTGAAGCTTCAAAATGAGATTTGGCTCGTTCAAATCCCACCAATGAATCGCGAGATACTGATTGTAGCGATCAACAATTAAACAAGATCAATGAAAAACGATTTCGTGTTCGAAACGCCTTCAATCTTCTCTAACTTGAGAACGGCAGAGTGAAATCGGGAAATTTTTTTTTCGGTTTTCGAGAATTCCTTTGAAGTTTCAGAGTGAGATATGACTCGTTGAGACTTCACCTACTGATCGAGGAATATGGACGATTGAAATGTTTGTTCTGTGGATTATGAGAGGGCTTATGTAGCACAACCCTAATTCGATCGCACTTAGCCTTCGACTCTTCATGGTATAACCGTACGCGCATAGTAGGTGAATAGACACGCCTATTATTCCTGAGGAGAACGTCAACACACGCAATACATTAGCACCAATGTTTCATTTCCCTTAATTGCGTAGGTGTAGCAATGTCTCAGCGCTATTTGTCTCCGTTGCGCTTCTCATTCCCACTCTCAGTCTCATTTCGAATTCTGTTAAATTGTTTTCCCAATTATTTAAAAACCTTAGAAGGAGAACTGAAAGAATCAATACTGAAGAAGAAAAAAAAACGATTAACGATTATTACCATTTAAGAATATTATATATTTTTTGTAGAAAAACCAAAGACCATACAGGATTATGAAGTACTTTATGTCACATTCGGCATGAGACAGAGTTGAACGATGATCATTACTATCTAATGGATAATAGGTAATTAATTACGGTAAATGTGATTGTAAATAAACATACATAACCAAGAGATATATAAGTACGAAGCGGTGACGAAGGAAAAGATGGGTTTCCCTCAGATGAATATATCATTTGCTACTCTGTAAACCAAAGCAACAAAAATTGGGGGATCGACTGAATATTTCGGCAACGCCTTTTTCTCTTGATTTTTTAGCCTTGAGCTCTTCGTGAACGTTCTCTCGGGTCAATCTTAGAGAGAATTCGCGAAGAAATCGACGCTCGTTTGCTGGTTGTATATCTCAGGATATTTCGATATAGAAACATCCAGGCAATAAAATAAATGCAATATACTCAAAGAAGGGATTGATTGTGAAGAACTGATTCGAGTTGACGTATGTTCGATTCTGGTCGATTTTCCATTCGATGTACGCGGTATTTCAAGGAGAAAGGTCTCAAGTTGAAATGCGGACTTGAAAATGTGGAATCGAGTCGACTTGAATCGAATTAAAAACTCAACTTGAATCAAGTCTAAGAATCGAATTGAGTTAGTCTCAGACATCGACTTGAACCGATTAAAAAAATCGAGTTGAATCACTCCGAAAAATCGACTTAAATAAAACGGAAGAGTCAACTTGAAAATTTCCGAAGAGTCAACTTGATCCAAGATCCGTTCACTTTCGTATTTTTTTCATAAAAATCGGGCTGTAAAGTCGTCCATAATTTGTCGAGTCCAATAATAAAGAAAAAAATCAGAGTAATCCCCCTGATTTACCATCTTCTCTTTCATGGTTTGAGCGCATGTCAACCGATGCAGATTAATTTTATTCCGTATTCACGTAAGATAAAACCAAGAAATTTGTAGACTAATTAATTCTAAAATATTTAAAATTTAATATATTAGGGATGTCCCGGTTGAATGGATTCGTGGGTTTATTGATGTTGATGAGAATGAAAGAATAAATAATGAGTGGAAGCTTGAGTGTTTTATTTTTTATTTTTGAAAATACTGAAATTATTCTCGGGACTACGACTCTTTTGTAATAGTAGATATTTTATTAGATGATAATCAGAAGTATTTCTTTCTCCTGTTTTTTTTTGTAAGGGACTGTTTGAGACAAAGTCTCATGTTGTAGGTGAACGTCACGTGTATTTTCTTTTTTTACTTATAATTTTTTAATTATTTCTCCCAGCCCTCGCTGTGGAATTATGTCCAAAGTTCACTACGATTATTCACAATATTTCAAATAATTCGCATTTTTACATTGTTACTTAGTAAATAATCATCATGACGAGCTAGAGTAGACGCCGATAATCATAATGACGATGATAGTTGTTATTTTCATTAACTTTTAAATTATTTAGATCATTATTATCATTATTATTACTATTATTCATTACGATTATTTAATTTCTTTATTATTTATGAATTTGTAATAACGTATGTGTAATAAGTTTTGCCAAAGAACTTTGAAAATGAAGCAAATAGCGCAATATTCTAGACTCTTTTCTTTCCAAATAAATAATTCACGATGGAAGGGGAGAGCAAATGACATAAGTAAATGACAGTTTATGACTTAATGACAACGTATTTGTTTTTTTTTTCTTTTCATATATTTTGGTTGCACTCGGAGGGCCCTGCACAACTTTTTCAGTAGAAAATTATCTTCTCATTATTTTAAATTTAATCATTGGTCCTTGTGATATTCTTGTTCCATGCGCCACTCTTGCCGAGTTTCGCTGTTGATACTTGCAAACTGAAATCTGTAAATCCTTTTTAAATAAATATGAGGTTTATATGACCTTTTGAATTGTCATGTTGATATCAAGTTACCTTTCCTTATTTTTTTCCTCGTAGTTTTGAAGATTTCCCGCACTTTTGGAAGTTGAGAAGGAATTTCCGGGGTGATCGAGATGATGGAGAAGGAGAGATCTAATTAGATAATATTAGCTACCTGTTTGAAAAATTCAAACCGAGAAGTAATGGCGAAGCTTGCGGAGAATTTCTCCGAATGGAAAGAACTAGTGAAATTTTTGTAATGATCTTTTTTGAGTCGAGATGAATCGATATGGGTGGATATTAATCGATATGAATCGATTTGAGTCGATATGAGAAATTCTAAAAATTCAAGTCCTCCTCTTGTAAAATCGGTAAAGTCACCAATCGAATTTAAAGGATACCCTGAGAAAACGAAAAACGCCCAGGGTCCGACAGAAGTATATTACCAGCATCTGAGTACGTAATTTACCGCCTATCCATCAGTAAATATTCCCACAGGCGATACTGAAAATATCTTTTTACATTCCCTTTGATTATTGATTATTATGAATTTTTTTATTAAACCACTTTCAATCTTCCAGAAAAAATGGCGTTGTAGCATTTTAATTCGAGATTATAAAATCATGACAAAAAATTGATAGAACGATTAATCAATAAAACAAATAAAAATTATCCATTCATTTATGAATTTGTGCATTACTCTGTACATAGCAATAATAAATCATATCTAAACAATTATAAAAGTTGTAAATTATTATTATTAATTATGCGTGAATCAGTTCCAATTTTTTTAGGAAATTAATTTCATTAGAAATTCAATTATTTTCAGGCCAATATATATATCAATATGTGAAAATATATTAAATATATGGTATACAGCGCATATGTTACAAAAATATTAAACAGGTATTTATTCTAATGGAGAAGAATAGTTTTAGTTTAAGGAATTGGCTGATGTCAAATCGGCGTACTTGATGTACATCATTGGTCCTGAAATATCTGTATTAACGATATACGATATATTGTATATCGAAACGAAGGTACACTCCGTCGGTATAAACGATTTCTGGAGTAAATGTTTCATTCTGGAATCCTGTGTACGGACTGGAGGTAATTTTTATTCGTCCGAAAATTCTTTGTTAATAAAAATTTCATTTTCAAGGATTTTCCCTTTAATCTAAAATTGAGTGATTCAAGGAATGAAAATTTTGGAAGAAGTTTCCACTCCATTTAAATAATTTCTAATACCGCCGAAAAGATATAATCCCAGAAGAAAAAGAAGCCAGAATTTATTTATAAAAATATTCAATTCTACAATAAAAATTCGAGTCCCGATCGTCCAATTCATTCGTGTCGATCTTAATTACTATATTTCACTTATTATATACATAACTTTCAGCTCCTCCCCTTCCGAATCCTGGAACAAATAAAAATTATTATTCATCGTAAAAGTAATCTCAACTATTGACCTCATCACTACATTATTCCATGACAATTAACGCACAACGTCACTGGTTAATTCAACACTGAATATTCAATATTTCGTCTTATCACAAGTCAAAAAATGGTGACCGCTCTCAATTTTATTCAATAATGCCATTACCGCGGGAAATATTTCAAAAAAATATAACAAATGAAAGAGGTAATATAAATTATTTAAATTGTTGCTGCCCTCAATTATTTTTGAATCAGTCTTCAGGGCAATATTTTGTCCAGTAATATTGTAATATTTTTTGTTATGATGTTTTGAGTTGTGTTGTTTAATATTTTTTTTTTTATAAATCCATCCATCCAATTCACAATTACTAAGATTCGTCCCTCGAGTTGGATTTATTTTTCTAACAGAGTGTGTCAAAGAATGGAATAATTAACCTCCAGGTCCAAACAAGGCTGCGTAGCACGGTTGATTGCAGTAAGGTTTCCCCTCGTGCTCCGAGTGTCCGCCCGGTGTCAAGGTTTTGTTACATTTCTCACATCGTAGACACGCGCCATGCCAATCCTTACCCAGAGAAGTTTTTCGCTCAGCTGTAAAAACGAAAAAGACCCTCGAATTCCATTCCCTTCATTCTGAACGAAGTCACGCAACAAAAAAAACATTTTCTCCCTCCGCAAAAATACTTCAACCCTGAAATTCGGGTTATTGTTATCAACAAATTACCAATTAATACAAGTAATCACAATCAAAATTATTATTCACGAATTAATTGATTTAGCCCTAAATCTCTGCGGAATAAAATAAAGAACAAATTAGTGAAGACTAATTATAATCCACGAATTTTTTTTTCTAAACATCGATTGATCTCCGAAATTAATGATTTAAACAAAAATTACGAAAAGACTTTTTTTTTCATGAATTTCATCAGCTTCAAAAAAGTCCCGAAACATATTCCGCTGAAATCGATAATTAGCGTGATAATTGGGAAACTGTGAAGAGCATTCAATGAACTTGTCTGCGATGGTTCCTATAATCACTTTTGGAACAATTAATCCAATTAATTTCACCTGTTTAAATCGCCTCTCCAATCGACGACAGTGAACAAAACGCGATACTCTGAATCGTAACATTTCCCAGTGGTAACAAAGCGTCAAAGACAATGGCCCCACCAGAAATTTATACAATTCCATCGAGATCTTCAGATGCATTGTTCCACCAGATGCACCGGGTTCCATTAGCAATTCCGTAATTATAAATCCAAAATGAGATGATGCCTAGGGGCAGCTTGCAAAGAGCGCCTATTCACTCCAGCAGCATCAGCAAATGCTCAATGGATGACACGCAGAAAAACTCCACCTCGAGATTTCAATTTATTGTCATGCACGTTGCCGCGATTTCGCGCGCCCTGAAAGCACCTCATTGTCCGGGCAAAGCAAGAAAAAAAAAATATATATCCAGACTCCGGGGGCTTTCACGATTATCCAAGTATCAAGAAAGAGGATAAACCACAGAGCTAAGTACACCAAGAGAAACCGTGTCTCCAAGGATGTCTGCAATACCTCCAAAGCCCCTTCATTTGTACTTTTTTTCGGTTCACCCTTTTCTTCAGCAGTAAGAGGAGGGGAAACGTATTGAAACGGAAAATGAGACGCCAGGTTGCTGACAAAATGAAAGAAACGACTGAGGTCAGGAGTAAAATGCAGGAGAGAGAACATCAAGGGCCATTAGTTAATTAACTCCTAATTATGAAGGAAGCAACCAGAAGGAACAGTAACAAGCATCGAGGGGGGAATAAGGGGGAGGGGGACAACCCCCGTCGGTATTTCCGCGTATCAGAGTCTCAACAGACTGGGCTGTGCACGCATCGTTGCATCCTGGTGCTCAACAATCGCCGGGTACACAGTCTATATAGACACCAACAAACCCTTTCCACCCTCACCTCCCACTTTTTTCCATAGTTTTACTCATTTTTTTTTTTTATCCACAACATTTTTTTTTTGTCGGCTACCTTGGCTCCCCCTGCAACTCAGTTGGGCGTTGTTTTTTTTTTGTTAATTTTTTTTTTCACTCTCTTTTGCCTCCATACGTCCTTTTTCGACTAGCGTTCTCGCATGCTGCCAACACTTTTGCATGGCTTGCGCATAATCCTTTCTCGCTCTTGTGTTTTTTTCATGTCCGCTCGTTTCGTATATTTCCCCCCCCGTTTTTTTTTGCCGTCCCACTCTTCTTAACTCCCGCACCACTACCCCCTGGCCATTCTTCAACAAAACCTGTTTCATCTCACTGTTCTTCTCATTATTACCTACCGTGAGGGGGAGGCGGGAGGATGCGACTGTGCCTGGGCTGCAACGTTTCTTTGTTATTGTCCTCGCGGGCGGATACTTTATTGTTGTGGCTGGGTTGTGGATGCACACGCGGGGTCTTGGATTTTTGTACTTTCTTCCATTTGGAGAATTCAGAGGGTTCTAGGCGGTTTTTCTACCCCGACCATCGGCACGGGGAGGATTTTCATAAGAGCCAATTGGACTGTTCGAAAAATGAAGTGACTCGAGTCATTAACGAATTGATTTGAATTCTCCATTACAAAATCATATCGATCGATGCCCTTTGATCAATCAAGTCGAGTCAATTAAACTCAAATATCAGCTTGAATAAAAATTTTATTTTTATTTATAATCAAGTTTTGAATCGATTTGAATCAATCCGAAAAATTGTCCATTTAAAAAACCGTCGTGTCCATTTAAAAAAATTATGAAAAGAGTTGATAGAATAATATCATTATCAGACGTTTTAATTTATTAATTATTCACTGCGCGTTTTTTTCTTTAATGGGCATTTCGGAGTTCAAATGGTATCACAATACAGAGGAAACATTATTCGCATTACGAAACCTTGGGGAACTCGTTATAGAGATGATGCCTAGTGACATAATTAGATGTTATCCTTGGAAATTATGTGAATCACGCTATGACGGATGAATGTCCAGGGATATTCCGTATCAAGCCGATATCAACTGGATTTCATGAGGCGCCCTTATCATTCGCGGTATTTAATTAAGCGAAATGCAGTTATCTCGCATTTCCACCGGCGAATTCGTCCACCATCTCTATCATTTCGGCGACAGTTATAATAGTTGATGAATGCTGCCACCGATAATGATATCTCAATGTTCAAAGGTTCTTGCATTCCTACGAGCGATCGTGTGAAGTTCGGAATATATTTAATAATTACAAATCCATTGTCGACCAATAATTAAAAATCCACACGCAGACAAAAATTCATAATAAAAATTCTCGAGAACCAAAAATCAGTCAAACTTTCTCAAGAATTTTCTAATTTCTGTAGCTGTGTAAAATGGCGAGAGCTCTAAATCTGGAATATCTCCGGAGAAGTTGTAGGGCAAGAGCTTCACACGTGATCTTTCCACTTAAATTTTTTCTTCCCTCAGAATCCAAAAAAAAAACTCGTGAAAACCTCCGCTAAATCGACTTGAACAGCTCTTTAATTTCTTCCACATGCGAGGGGCTATCTGTAATGCAAAACGACTGAACACTGCGCATATTTTTTAAACGTCGTGAGACTCGATGAAATAGTGCCTCTAGTTTGTAAATTGAAATTGGAAACCACCGGTGAAAAAACCCATACGTCACCATATTCTCCGCTGAATTCCGAATTTCAGAGGCAAATAAAACCTCTGCGATGAGAAATCGATCATAAATAATTCATGATCCCAAATTGAACAGAAAATCATCGACAAATTATGAGAAAACCGAAGTAAACACTACGCACTACCTTCCGCAAAAAACCTCTCCATTTTATTCTTCTCCCATTAATTTGAAAAACCTTTTTGAACTCCAGAAATTTTTGACATCTCATTCTCATGGATCATACGCTCGTGGATTACCCAGTGAAATAACTGTTTTTCAAGTACTATCAGAGAATTTATAGATATGAATGAATTCTCGCACCTTAAGCTCATAAACAAACAGGTTTGTATGATCTGATGTCATCAGGGGATCGAGTGAGGCGAGAATTTTTTTTTTTGATTATTCGCCGGGATTATACTCCAATCATGTTTTTATGAATTATTATTCTGATAAAATACTCTCTTAAGTGAATTATCATTGCAAACAAACACCCAAGTTCAACGCAAAATGGAAAATTTCGTGAAATATTACGATAACTCCGGTTTGGAATTATGGTAATTGATAATATTGAGAGATGAGTTGGACCTGATGAGTCGATTTGGCTCCCGTTCGCCTGCAGACAACGAAATACTTCAAATATTGCATAAACTTGAATTTCCAACTTGCGAAAACTGACAGATAGTTTGCAACAAAGTTATAATGAAATATTATGATGATCGAGAATTGCGAGAGACCAATGGAAACTGACGATTCAATGCTTCTACTGGAACAGGTAATAAAGTTTTCCCTCAAGTTTTCCCACAAACAGGCAAGTATATTTCAAGTTTTTCAAAGTTGACGCTTTGTTTGCAACGAGTTATCGGGGAATATTGTGATAACTCTGAAGACCTTGGGATATGATAACTGAAAATTCTGAGAGATGAATGGAAAGTGATGATTCAGTACTTGACTTACCGAAATAGACGGGTTTATTGCACTTGGGACAGTTGGGCATGGTGAAGTGTAGTCGGAGGTTGAGTAAATCCTGTTAAGCAGTGAAGGGCGCAGAGGATACCTCTGGAAAGGTGGTCAAGCGTGCACTGACTACACGGCTCTACGTAGAGGTAACGTAATACTCGCCACACACTTCATTGAGCGTGTAAGTGTAGTGAATTGACAATAGTACCGTACATGGTGATGTAATCCCTACCATGCTGATTGTGGCTTCATGTGTATCAAGTGTATTCTCCGCTACAGTTTGCTGTTATTTTTTTGCTGTTATTTTTTGCGGTTTTTTTTGCTGTTATTTTTTTGTCGGGAATGCCAAGATTATTTTGCACACCCAAATAAAGTGACACGACAGAAAAAAAAAAGTGAATCGGCTTATTTCAATATTTTTCAGTGGAAAATGTCCCGATCCGAACGAGAGATTGACGATAGAATTTCGTTGGGTAGATTTGCTAATCGGGAGTTATTTTGGAAATTTTTGCAGTTTTTTTTACTCGATTCCGACCGGAATTTCCCGCCGGGATTCGAATCCGGATCTTCCAGTCACGCGCGTTTATGTTTGACGGATTCTAGTCTCAAGTAGGATCGAGAATATTTGGGTGGAAAATATTGTGGTTTTCTTACAACTACTTCAGTTTTATGGAGAAGAATTTGAAATTATAATATGATGAGAACATTATATGGAAATTAAAGGAGTTACGAGTAGCGCTACTATATGCAACGTCTCGTGCGCGTGAGGTAATTCACGTGACTCTAGACTCAGGGATTGCACTTGGTACTTGTTCCATTTTCTTAAATTTTCCCTTCTAATCCAGACTTGATCCCCACCCCCTTAGGCCCTCCTTTCCTCACATTATGCGCTCGATCAAACGCTTCATGTACGAGAGAAAATCGTGAACATTTTCATTTGAAATTGAGTTCAGACCCCCACAACTGAAAATGGAGAGTGCATATAATGATCGAGATATTAAAAATTGAAATGATATATCCGTAGGATGACACGCTCATTAGCTTTGAGCCCTGAACCCCAGAATGTCCCGATTTTTCCTGAAAACGCGAAATCCTCTTTCCCCGTGTGGATTCTGAAAAAGCGAAATAGGAATAACGGGAACATTCGGTAAAATGATTTATTAAACCGTGAAAACAAATTGCACCTGATGAGTGAGAGATGCATGAAAGACATGTGCCATTGTAGAGAGAGTGGTTGGCTCGAAATATCCTCGTTGTAAAATTGCACAGCGGCTTCCGATACCCAACCCCTATCTGCACGTTCTTTTCCCCGTCATATTTCCCTCACCCTCTTTCTCTCCGTTAATGACGTGCATCCGGAGCCCTTTATTTCCTTTCAGATTCAACTCGCATTCATCCTCCTGATCGTCGGATTCACGTTAAGTTTCCCCATTTTATTCACCATCCAACGACCAGTTTTCGCGACTCATGAAGAGTCGTCAAGATCGTCGTAATGATGATGGGCGAATTCTACAGATTCACTCGTTGGTGCGATGAGTGACATCAACATTTCGCCCATAACAAGTAGATTCATTCTTCTAGTTTCCTCGTTACCGGGATAATGTCTCTGTAATTATCGTCAATACGTTTGATTACTGTGGGAATTTGTCACGCCACCGTTGTAACACCAACAACCAGTCACCATTTTTGTGGTGAGAATGACTTGCGGGGAGTCATCAATGCGCAGGTCGTTTACTCGTTGCTCACGCGGGGAGGTAAATCATCTAGAAATTACCGGAAAAGTCACGTTAAAATTACGTGTCGAACTTTAATCGAAAAAGTGGACGGAAATTGGAAGAGAAATTGGAGGAGTCGTCACGGGAATTCTAACGATCGAACGATAATATGAATAAATACTCGGTCTGATAAGTCATCGCTATCTTGACAACAAATCGTCATTGCGTCGCTCTTCTCCAAACGATTGAGACATTTTAGAAATTGAATGAGTATTATCAATTCCAACTCATCTCACTGAAAACGCAGATAATTTCATATTCAGGCTCCGATTTAAGAAATATATTTTACGATTGAAGTTAAAGTATAAATTACGCTTAAAATAATCGTAAATTACGATCACATAAAAGTCATTAACTACTTCCCAATCATAAATCACGCGTATAATTGTCGTAAATACGTTTATATTCCCTGCAAATTACGATTGCATGATTTTTAATTACTATAATTTAAAAATTTAAGAAGCCCTACCTTCAAATCATGATTATATCAGCGTCAATAATAAATTGCGTCCATAATCGTCATAAACCGCGGTTTAATCTAGACTTTAAGTGCAACCATAAGAAAAAATATCTCAAACGTAATTTGCGTTTACGTATTTCTGTACATATTGTGACTGAAATTTCTACGGGTGTAGATTTCTCCCCCGAAATGAATGAAATAATGATGCATTGCAGCTGGTGGCGAGCCATTCGGTATATTTTGGGAAAGGAGTACCAGCAGCTCAACTTCCGGTTTCCATCGGAGCTGATGTGCGTGGGAGACATTGTCGCAGCACCAGTATAATTTCAATCATCCCCGGTGATTAATTCTGATTATTTTCGCCTCCAGTATGGCTCATGCAGGCAGATCCTTCCACTAATCCACAGACATGGCTTCCTAATTCCAATGTCGATCACGTGCCGTGATTTGCAACGCTCATCGATTCCCTCACGTACACCAGTACTATTCAACTACTTCTTGGAGTTCAGTCGCTGATGCATACTGCACACAACGAGGAAAATATTTAATTGAACCAAGTATAAAATATTTCATTTAAATATTTTGTAATTTCAATTAATGCGTTAATATACTTGAAGTATACTTTACAAAATAAATAAAATCATATCTTTTTACTTAGATTAATTGTACTTGTTGTTTTGAGAATTTTTTATTTTCGTTTCTTTAAGTTAAAACTCTTTAAATAATTTTGTTATTTTCAGATGGTAAGACAGTGTAGATTTTTCAAATTGTTGGATTCAAATTCTTCATTGATAATAGGGTGTACGATAACAATGGGAGAAAATTGATCGAAAGACAATCGAATTTTTTTCTAGATAGTCATGGCATCGAGAAATGAAATTTCATGGGATCATATGTTTAAAAGCCAGTTATTATTTTTCAGCAGGACGTTGGTATGATAGATTTCTCAGGGCTATTTACCATCCTATGATTTTATACTATTTAAAGTCACGAGATGGCAGGCCTTTCAAGAGAAGAGTAGATGTCTTTAATAATATTTTTAATATTGGAGTAATAAATTAATTCATCAACTTATTCAATTAATCAATGCATTGATAATCATTTGCTTTTCCGAGGCTTTATGGATAATGTTTTGAAATATTTTTTTAATCTCGTGTTTTTAGCAACAAGTCACAAAAATTTCTTCGCTGAATTGTTACAACAATTCAGTTTATAAATTAATTCGGAAACTCAGAGAGACTCCGTTTTTGAGGAGTGGAAGAAAAAAATTTTTTTTTCAGTTCTTAATCGAAATCTTGTGGTTGAATCTCCGCAAGAAGAGGATTAAAAATTTATTTATGTAGCGGATGAATTAACAATATAGTGAAATATTCTATAGAGTTCCGCATTTTTTTTAGCAACTCAATAATCCGACCAGGTAAAATCCCCTCGGGATTCGTCTGTGAAATGATTGAAGGTGCAATTGTCAAGTCGCCAAAATAAAGCTCATCCAGAATTAACGAGGCGCGAGACAATGAACGATCCAACATATTACGATGTATTAATTTGTTTTGCTTTTCTGTTAGTCCTGACAAACTGCACAGTGAATTGCATCAAGACTCAACGGAAAATGTCCGGGTAAAACATCATACATAGTGAATTCGTTGAAAGACTAAAACACTCGAGCTTGTACCACAGATTACGAATTGCGCCGGATTCATTGCCCTTTATGTTACTCTCTTTTACTTTTATTTTTGTCTCACGTACTCGAATAAATTACTTCATTATGATGTGCGCATGGTGAAGAGAGTGCCTTCATACGACGACAGAGACGATTGTTCCCTACCCTTGATAACGCGTAATCGAAATAAGAATCGAAGCCGATATCGGTTTTCACTCAATGGCTTCAGATAACTGTAATGTTCCATCGAGGAGAGGACGTACACCGAGAGAAAATTACTCTCGAAATTCTAAGCTTAAGAGAAAATTTCTGCGCAGACCAAAAAAAATACTAAAATTACAATGAAGAAGAGATTATGGAAGAGCACGAATTGTGTTAGTGCGCGTATTCAGGAAAAATGTTCTCTGGAGGAGATCTAGCCATAAATGAAATTTTAAAGAATATTCACTCAAGTAATCAATATCTGCAGAACATTTCTGTAACATAAAAATGATTGAATTGACAAAAAAAAATTATATACATAATTTCAATGGGTTGAATTATTAAATTATCATATTATAAGGTAATTAAATGAATTTATTTTTCCAAAGTTTTTCCAGATGCAAATTACTTATCTCTGGAAAATCCAAACAGAGATAGGTTTCGTAGCACTAGGACAGGCTGATCAATCCCGAAAATTGATCGGCAGTCCAGAGTCGATCACTAATACCCCAATAACGAAATTACCACATCGAAGAGCTTTCGTGTCCCCTCATAGCAGCCGACAAGGTGGTCATCGGAAATTCACCTGTTCCACCCGACCCCATCTCCCTCGACGATAACCCCTCAGATCCCCCCTAAAAATACATGACAACCCTTCAAAATCTCCTGCCACAAAAAAATTAATTCCTCCATTTTATCATCTAATTTTTTCCTCCACATCAAACCCTCGAGGCCCGCCATCACATCCTAGAAAACTGAAAGCCACCTTATCCCCCGAAATCACGGCACCCCCCGACTACCCCCATCCAAAAAAAAACCCCTAAAAAATCGTCACTCGTTCTCGTCACCGTGCGTTTCACGTGTCGTATTCACGCGCCGTTAAAAAGCCCCGAGCTTAATCAAACCCACCAGATCCCCGTCTCGTTGTTTCGGTGGGTCAACATGCGCTATACACCGCAGTCGTGCAGGCATTATTCTCAAAGAGTTTGCGCAGTGGATGCCCCCCCAGTGAAATAGTACAGGAGGGTTGTGGGGTAGAGAGAAAGAGAGAGATCGAGAGAGACAGACAGATATACAGACAGAGAGAGAGTGAGAGTGAGTGAGGGAGGAAGGAAGGGTGAAAGAGAGTGCAAGGTAGAAAAGCGGGAGAGCAGAGTGGAGAGGATAAAAAGAGTATAAAAAAAAAAATCGCCTTCCAGCATTCATACACATCCCACGAAGAGGGATAATACTCGGTTGGTCTCGGTCAAAGTCGTCCATCTTCGTTCCACCGACTGAGCCCAACTAGTAGCGGCAGAGCGGCCTGCCATGACTCGACCGATCCCCCCCCCAGGATGGGTGGTTGCGGGGTGGTGGGGGTGAGCGGCCGAGTAGTTGGAGGGAAGCGGCCGGACGAATCCGGCGTCGTGATTGGTCTGAGCGTGGGAGAGCCGCCCGCCCGAGTCGTCCGGCCGGCAGTCAGCACCGAGCATCCGACTTGAGTGGTACACAGGCGGTCGTGACACTCCGTTTATCCCAAATAGTAAATTCCCCTGATATAAAAAAATAAACACAAAACAAAACACAATCGCGCAGCGATCCCTCACAACCTGGGACACTCGAATGTTTATCCACAATAATTAAAGTGGAACAAGTCACCAACCGGCCCATGTTAATCGCTATACCCGACGGTGATAAACAAAGATAGATTAACCGAATAAAGATAAACGTGACAAGAGATACGATGGCCGCCAACGGCGCGCGTCAAGTTCACGTCAGTGCTGTATCCTCGTTATTTCACAGTGTAGCGTGTCAATTTGTGCTCGTGTCTTGGCCACCATTACCCCTGTACACGTCGTGCGTGTGTCTGTTTCGTTTATACTGAGAGTCAAGTGGATATTTTAAATCACAGTGGGGAAAAATAACGAGAAACGTGGGGCCCTTTTTGTGTGTGGAATGTATGTGTGCGCAAGCGGTTAACGCCCGGGATAAAAAAAAAAATAATAAAACGAGCTGCGTGTGGACAGCATCGACACGATAACACTCGTGTTTGTTTAGTAGTTTCTTTTTTTTTTTTTTAATTATTTTACTTTATTTTTTTTCTCGTGCATTGCCAGTGGGTTTTGTTGGTCGCAAGGAATTTGTGCGTCAAGTTTGACGGAGATTCAGTGGCTCGTGCAGCAGTTTTAACGTGTCCGTCGGCACATGCCGGTACGTGTTTATCGTGCAACTGGAGGCTGCAATTTTTTTCAACCGTCTGTCTTCCTAAACTAGCGTTACAGTGCTCTTTGGGGGTTCTTGGAATCACAATTTTTTTCAGTGATATCGGGTAACATTTTCGGGGCAATCGTACAGTGAAGTGTGTTAGACCGGTTGTAACAGTGGGGGAGAGGGGATTTTTAAACGGGTGAAAAATTGGAAGACGATAACCTGCCAGCGGTGGTGCGCTAACGCCCGATCGGTCCCGTCGGACGGTCGGAGCGCGTAACAATAATGCCGCACGTGAGCAGCAATGGCGGTGGCGATGATCTCTGTAGTGAAGATGAGGTCAAGGTTTTCAAGGATGAGGGCGAAGACGAAAAGAGATCCTCGGAGAATCTCACCGAGGAGAAGAGCTCGCTCATTGATCTCACCGAGTCTGAGGTGCGACATTTATTTCGTGCATTTTTTTTCCCCCCCATTCATTTAACCTTAATTCTCGGTATTTGATTGTTCAACGAATTGTGTTGTGTTGCAGGAGAAGGGATCGCTCGCGGGCGGCAGCTACTCGACAACGGGAAAGGCCTCCACGAGGTCCGACCTCAGTCCTGTCTTCGGTAAGTCCTGTCTTTCATTCATTAGAGGGAATTCCTCTCGTTTTCCAAGTCTCAGCGGCGTCAGGAAATCATTTGATTCTGATGTTCTGTCTTTCTTTCATTCATCAGAGAAAATTCCTGTTGCGTTCCACGTCTTCTTGACGTCAGGAAATTGTTGCCTGAGACTTGGGCGAGGGGAACTGGAATTAGTCTCGACAGGAATGCAAGTCATTTTTTTTTTAACGACAAAAAAGCAGAATCCTGACGGGACTCTAACCTGAAACCTTGTGATTATCAATCGAGTACTGTACCATCCCAGCTATTTAGCTGGTAGATGCTCATTTTTTTTGAACGGGTTATTTATGGTTTTAATGCAATTGAGAGAGAAGAATTGAGTTCAGAATTGGCGGGGTTAATCCCATTTCTCGGTACGACTGGGGACAAATTATCACGTCCATTAGTAATGCACACAATGGAGTTATGCCATTCCTTCGCAGGTCTCTCTGGTTTCTCTCCTCGTATCTCTGACAAATTGATAGCCCCGCGTCGTTGACCGCGTCACACTGTTGCCAAAAGACTTTGTCCCATCGTCTGTCACTTGTAGGTTCTCGGGGAGTTTCACTTGCTGTCGTACGAAAATTCTGATGATTCATTTGGCAGTTTATTCAGTCGTCCCGGCGTGTTTATTCGGTTGATTTCGGTAGCGAAGAGGTAAAGACGACTTGTTCTCTAGTCGAGTTTGAGAGTAATTGCTCTGAATACAGGAGGGATGGTGTAATTTTTCATAGGATCTTTTTTGTAGAGTCAAATGAGAACGACAAAAAATGTCTTTATAAAAATTTTGATAGACTCTTCGATTCAGAGGTATTCCTCTAATACTTGGGAATTCGTTGAATCGATTCCTATTTTCATGGTAGCGAGTTGGCGATTTTTGTTGTGATCTGAATTCGTTCGAGTTTTCTGGTTTGGGTGAGGAATTGTGGATTACGAGAATTGGTCATCGGGGTGGTATTATTAATCGTCCATTTCTCGGGGAATTGCTCTATTCATTATGTTTTGTAGAGCTTGACATCGTGTGAGTCAATGACTTTTATACTATTTTAATAGCCCCTTCATTCATGCTCTCAACGCTATGGGGTAATAATAGTCTGGATAATGACATAATTGGAAAATCTAGGAGATGCCCATCAATGTTGCTCTCATTAACAGATAGAAGAAGGGAGAGCATCAGGAACACTATAATCAAGTCGCGTTTAAATAAATATTGTCGAAAGTCAAGTGACGAATCTGGGAATCATTTGGCACCTGTTCAATTAATCATTTGAATTCGTTGGGACGTAGAGGAGACATCATTAAACAATGGATGGTTCTGAATTATTAAAGAAGTGATGGTTACAGTGGAATTTCATGGAATTTTCTCTTTGAAAATCAAGTCGTTGTTTTCGCTAAGAAATCCCCAGAAATTGGAAAAACTTCATACTGCTGAAAATCTCTGGGAATTGTCCATTCTCTGAATTTCAAGAAAATTTCAGAAATTAGTTTTTGTGTTCAAAATGTTAGAATTCCTATCATTCATTTTAGGAATCAACTGAATATCAGGAATATTTGAGGGATATTGCGTCGTTTATCTGCACTGTAAGAATTTTTTACCTGAATTTTCCGGGTGTCGGCCTTGAAATGTCACCCAAGTGACGGCTCCCTTGAAATTTCAGGGAATTTCGGCATCGAAAATTCCTGCTTTCTCGAAAAAAATTTGAAACAGTAAATTTTCATGCTTTAGTTGAAAATTCCTGGAAATGATAGTCTCCAGAAGATTCAGGCACTTTTCTTCAGCGTGCGGGAATATCCATTAGTGTAATCATTGCGCAATTTTATGGAATCGTGAAACATTGAAAATGCGAAAGATGAAAAAACGAGATGGTTTCGAAACAATCGAGTCCGGACCCTCAAGCGCATGTCGACGATTCGAATTCACTCGACAGAGACATGTATTCTGGAAAAAGAGGGGGCCTGCATGACGGTCACTCAAGTGGTTAATAATTTCGACGATTGAAAAGAGCCGAGTGGCGGCGACGGCGGTCTAAAGTTGTCGTTCGCCGAAACGAGACATATGAACCTCACTGTCATATTCCAGTGGATTTTCTATCAAAAACAAGAGCCCGGTTTCCAGGCTGTGTTTATTTTCCTTTTTCGATAGCTCTTTTTCGGGGTGTGGCTTCTGCACAGGGGAATATTCTCATCTAAAATTCCATTTATCGAGCAATCAGTTTGTGGAAAAAAAAATAATGAGACAAATAGGAAATGCGATTTGCATTGATAAAAATTCCGTTGTCTCGGAAAAGTCGGATATTTTGAAATTTTTAGGATTTTCACCAGTAAAAATTTCATCAATTAATTTCAAATTTCTTGAAATTTCATAAATCAAAAAAATGTTGAGCGTTCATGTCTCCAATGACAAGATGAACTGAAAATTTTATCCATTAAATTCCACCTCCACTATCCGAGGAAAATGTGGAATAATTCAAATATAATCGGAGTGAACACGTGATATGGATATATCGAGACATAAAAGTAGGGTGAATTGGCAGCAAGGGCCAATGATATCTCGTTGTGCGAAGTAATTGACGAGTTGGAGTGTAGGCGGCCGAGGCGCTTAGATAGCCCGAGGCGTTGTGTATCGTGAAACGAAACGAGACGAAAGGAGCAGCAGCTACGGCGGCTATACGACGCTCTCCGGTGGATCCTACAAGTCTTCTCCTCGTGTATACCAATGGCTAAAGGATAAGGATGGAAGGGAGTGGAGGGAAAATATGCCAGGCAAAACGAGGTGGTGGTGAGCTGAGGTACAGGCAAGAGGGAAACGAAACGAGGCGAACGAGACTCGCTGCATCACCCTGAACTTGCCCGAATACCTTTCCACCCGACTCCTCGTACGGTAACCAATGCACATGGCATCGACTTATTGCTTTCTTCTTCTCACACTTTTATCCTCTATCCTCCCTATCCTCACCCATACACTCGTATTTACCTCTCCACCTCGCCTCGCCACTGTATCCAACGCCGTCGTCGCCGTTGTCGTCATCCTCAAGACTTTAAATCCATCTCACTCACACTTTTATATTACCTATATCTCGAGTTCACTCACTCCTTATGCTTTGTTTCCTCTTACTTTGTCTCGCGACCGTACCAACTCTACACTCATTTCTTACGCTCAACATCGCCTACCGGGTGTTGGGAACAAGACCATATTCATGATTTCATAGAACTTAGGCATCTTAATGTCGAAATTTGGAATTGCTCTTAAGCTTTTTTTGAAGAGCAATCCGATTGATTGATTTCGGAGATCATTGATTTTCTCAGTCCATTCCTAAACCGGAACCGGATGCCCAGCGATTCCCCATGGGATTCCCAAAAGAATTCGCGCGAGTTGCAGCCAAAAAAGAATTTTTTCAAAAAATTCAAAAAACGATTTATCACAAGACAATCTCACACACATACCAAAGTTTCTTTCTCATCTATTTCCATCCCAGCCCACCGTCCCCTTCATACCCCCGAAAAAAATAATTCTAAAAAAAAAATAATAATTCAATTCTTCCCATGCCATGGAGATTTTTCCCTCCAACCGGTGAAATAAAAAAAAATCGTAGAATATGAAAATCGTTTAGCTTTTTGTGAGACACTCAATATCCCAACGAGAATAGACAACACAGACACCCGGTATACACGAACGCCACAGACACATGAAAACAGAAACTACTCGGTTGCTGTAGCTATGTGTATCCATACATATGTATTTATGCTTATGCATGTATACACATACAGGGGTGAGTTGGGGGTCTGGAGTTCTCTCTACCTACCTGCTCGCTAACGAGCCTACCTGCGTTGCTGCACTTCTTATATTCGAGGAGGCAAGCAACGAGAGAAACACAGAGGCTTCACATCTCTCCTGTTTCCCCTCGTTGTCCTTTCGTTCTGGGGGCTACCCATGGTCCTGCCATCGTTCCCCTCCTCCGTCTGCTCATCTCGCATCTCCTCACCTCTCAAATGGATCCTGGACCCCCTTTCCCCTTGTCAGCCCCCTTTACCCTCCTATGCCCCTCTTCACCCTCCGTTGACCCCCTCTGACTCCCCTGCCCACCTCCTGGCGTTGCAGGAGGCGCTGCTTCCCTGCGGTGGTTGCACCTACCTTTCATAACTGGTTAAACAAATTTCCTCGTAAAAGCGCTTTTCCAGGAATTTCCAGGGTTTTTAAAACCATTCGCATATTTTAGGAGTGAAGATCGCAGGATCATCTAATGATTTCTGGGTTTTTTTTTTCTTCTGGCAGGGATTCGATTGTAATTCGGAATTCTCAAGGGTTTTCTTGATGGATTGGTCAGGTGAATTTTCGGGGAGAAATTCGTCTCGGGTTGCACCTTTTTTTTATAATTGTTTGGAGATGTTTCCTCGTATAAGCGATTTGCTGGAATTTCTCAGGGTTTTTATTGAAGTTTTTCGCATACTCTATTCCCGATTTGGAAATTCAGAAAAATGGAAAACTTCATGAAGAATTTTCTTTGAGTCTCTTCAAGTTTTAGAAATTTCGGGTGAATAATCAAATCAAAAATAAAATTCACGATTCCATCGATTTTTCATGCCATTATGAATTTTTGAGTAATTATTCACTCAATAATAGAAATGGTTAAATGAAGTACGAAAAAATTTTGTCATTTTTAACATGAAAATTAATTTTTTTCAAAGGCTTCAAGTGAATGTATGTCTCGTGACGTTTTTCCTGTGACATCCGTAAATAATTTGTAATAATGACCGATCTAATGAATCACCGCCGAAAAATACGGGAAACACCGGTGCCTGACCCACGACAACACGTGCTCGACACGTGGATTTATTTAATTCAGAACGTCACGCAATGTCACGCGAGGAAATATATAGGGAGTAAATGTGGGGATGGGGGTGATGAGTCTTCATAGTAGCGATCACGAAAACGCATCGGGAAAAAGTGAGCAACAGTTCTATTCGTT